CAAAACTTGGCTCGTACCTTCGCCTGACACCGGGATAACCCTGTCCTCCCTCATTAATGGGCGGAGATTTGCAATGGCTGCTGTCCGAATGACCCTCCGATGGGATGGGTCATACCAACCTCCACTCCGCCGGAAGCAAGTGCAACGTGGAAGCACGGTTGTTTGCTGATGACGTGACCGGCATCAGACCAGTCACAAACCGGTCATTCTTGTCTACCACGTGTCAGTTTAGCATGCCACACGTCAGCCCTTCTTCATAAAATGACTTCCTTATAATGGTTGCGATGAAGCCTGGTATGAATCTAGCCGGGACCGACGTGCTAACTCCAGGAGTTCCCACGCCGGCTCCGTCTAGGGACAAGTGCCTAGAGGCTCTCATCATTCCGACGGGACGGGGCGAGGCGTGCGAAAGGCCGCCTGTTGCCACCTAACTCGCGATCTGACCGGTCTGTGACCGGTCACACACTGTGACCTGTCACGGACCGAACGAGTGTGCTGCGCTGCATTAAATGCGGCGTGGGGCGCTCGTCCAACCCGCAATAAACGCGGTTAGGTGAGCGCCGCTGTGCTCACCTAACCCACACACGTGGCGCCAAACCCTCAGGGGGTCGGGGCGCCCCAGCCCTCGGGGACAAAACGGGAGCGGCCCGACCCCTCGGGGAGATAGAGGGAGGGGCGGCCTCATCACCCTTGGGCCCGACCCCCCCGAGGGGGTCAGGCCACGTGGGTGACCGCGGCTGCCCCAAACCTCTAGTCAAGATATCCCCGGTCCCATGTCACCGACAGACATGGTATGTGGTGGGTCCTAATGAGATTTAGTCAACTACTATTAGGTATGTGGTATCTATAACTATGACAATTATGCTATTTTGTATGATAGTACAAAGATCCATGGATCTCAATGTATTTTTTTTTCAAAAGCTAGGGGACCCAAACCAACTTTGGTCTCTATATAAAAAGCTCTGCAGCTAGAAGAAACCACCTATAATAAGATTAATAAGATTAATAGTTACTATACATAGTGTATATATATGTCATGATAAGTATGAAAATTAATAGGAGTAGATGGTTTCTGGGATACGATTACCCTTAGTTGGTCAATAGTAATCCTGTTATGTTGTTGATTCTTGCAATGCACGCTCCACGGTACGGCCATGCTGATCTTTCTCTCTCGACCTGCCGGAATTTCCACAACATGTTGTCCTTCCAGAGAACTACACCGTACTGTAGAAAGTTGACTATAAATGTGGATAGAAGTATCATGGCCGTGTATAGATTTATTTTTTTTCTAAAAACGTCACATCGAATGTTTGGAGACATGTACGAAGTATTAAATATGGATGAAAAAAAAATCAATTACACAATATGCATGTAAATTGTGAGACGAATCTTTTGAGCCTAATTACGCTATGATTTGATAATGTGATGCTACATTAAACATTTGCTAATGACGGAGTAATTAGGCTTAATAAATTCGTCTTGCAGTTTGTAGGCGGAATCTATAATTTATTTTGTTATTAGACTATATTTAATACTTTCCGTGTACTTAAAAAGATTTTGGCCAAGGAACTAATCACAGCCTATAGAGGAGTATTCCTACGTGATGAGGGCAGTGTTAGTTCCCTTTAAACTTCAAAAAATTCAGTCACATTAAATATTTGGACATATGTATAGAGCATTAAATATGGACGAAAAAAACAAATTACACAGTTTACATGTAAATTGCGAGATGAATCTTTTGAGCCTAATTACATCATGATTTGACAATGTGATGCTACAGTAAATATTTACTTTGCTAATGATAAATTAATTAGGCTTAATAAATTCGTCTCGCAGTTTTCAGGCAGAATCTGTAATTTATTTTATTATTTATCTATATTTAATATTTTAAATATATACCCGTATACTAATAAAATTTGGCATACGAAGTAACCACTGCCGAGATCTAGGAACAAAGGGGAAATGGACATCCGGCCGGAGATTACGTGTGTGCATGCGCATGCGTGTGCTGTCAGCTGCCAATCTGGAGTACTCCAGCTACAAACATGACAAGTTCATCATCCATGACTTGACGTACAACATGCACGCGCATGCATGTCAGTCTGTCGCCACCAAATTACCAGGAGACTATTTTAGCGATTGCAGTAAAAATAAACCTTGGTGTGTTTAATTCACGCTAAAATTAAAAATTTATTTGAAATTGAAACGATGTGACAGAAAAGTTGAAAGTTTATGTGTAGAAAAGTTTTGATGTGATAAAAAAGTTAGAAGTTTGAAGAAAAAATTTGAAACTAAACAAGGGCCTTATCTAATTTTAGCGATTTCAAAATTTTAATATAAATTAATAATATTATCAAATTTTAACGAGATTTATCAAAGTTCAGTAAAAATACTAAATATATGTATATCTTTAATAGCCTTGCTTAAAAAAAGATATGATTTAAAATGGCATCAATCTTAATAACCTTAATAACCTCTAGGAGTACGATAGATCAACTGTTTATACAGAAGTATCGCCATCGCCGTTGGAACACGCACACGGCCGGCCATCGCATCGCAACGACGGTATCGCAGCATGGCAGGTAACGGTGTACTCCCTCATGTTTTTTTCTTAAAAAGAAAAAGTAAAAGTAAAATCTTAGGGACAAATCTATACACACATAGACACACGTGTATCTAAAAATTATCTATAGGATTTAAGTTATTTTTTAAACAGAGGGAGTAAGTGGCAAACTCACAAAATCTATTTATATAGACTAAAATAAATCACGAACCCACTACTTTGATCTATAAATAAGTTTACAAGTTAATCATTTAGGCCATATTTAGATTACACCCTAAAATTTTACGCCCTGTCACATCGAACGTTTGAACACCTGCATGAAGTATTAAATATAGGATAAAAACAACTAATTGCACAGATTACGACTAATTTGCGAGACGAATCTTTTAAGCTTAATTTCTGCATAATTTGACAATGTGGTACTACAGTAAATATTTGGTAATAACGGATTAATTAGGTTTAATAAATTCGTTTCGCGGTTTACTTGATGAATTCTGTAATTAGTTTTTTTATTAGTGCCCAAACACCCCATACAACACTCTATATAATACCCGATATGACACGTCAAAATTTTACACCCCTGATCTAAACAACCCCTTACACGTACAGCAAGACGCATTAACCAGTGCGAGTACCGAGTATTACTTCTGTTTAAAATAAAAAAAAATCTAACACATAAACTTAATTTTACAACGAGAGGAGTACGTTTGTAGGACGTGTGTAGTATACGTATGTGTTCAATCCAAATGGACAACGGACGTTTGCTGGGCTTGTTTTGTATTGTGGCTTGCATAGCACAGCACACAACACAGCCGCCAAATGGAACGCGTAAACGGAAGCCTTCGCGGCAAAGCAAGAACTACGAAGCCTCTAGATCGCCGGATCGATCGATCCATCGCAGCCGTCGGATCGGATCGGACGTGTCCCCCTCCTCCTTGGCCTTGCTGGTTACGCCGCGCTGTCGTCCGCGTGACGACACCCTCCACGCAAAACGGCGTCCGCCCCCCACGGCCCCACCCACCCCACCCTTCCTTGGACCCCACCACCGCATCCCCTATGAACCCATCAACTCTGTGGCCATCTTAGGATGTGTTCATCACTTCCCTACCATTTTTAACTATACATATTTTCTTTTGTATTTTTAAAATTTAGTAAGCTATCAATCCAAACATATCATAAACTCTCTACAATATCTTGCCATAACAATATTTGGTGATCCAGTCTGTGTATTTGTCTAATTACATAACTTGGATCCTCTTTACTATATTTATGAATGACGATATAATAGACAATACATATTATATTTTTAAAATAAAAATATTAATGTGCACCATCGCTAGTCACATGCTTTAAAGTAACGCTTAGGATATCGATATAACTTTCGATGAATATATTTAATCATTACTCGCATAGCATAGCCACATATATTAGGCGTGTTCGGAAGGCCAGGCCACAATCGTGGCAGCAGCAGCCACATGTTAGTCTGATGCTTGCAGCACTGTTGCCGTTGGCTACGCTACAACGCAGCCACGGTTGCCGAACATGCCCATTATCAAAACCATTTTTGATTTAATTATTTTGGGTCAACTTTTATTACCCAAAGTTAATATCACTTTGTGTTATGTTTTTTTAATCTTTTGTTGTACTTTTGACTAACGCTTTTGTTTTGTATAGCCAGATCCAATCTCTCCCCGGAGAAGATATGAGCTTTGCCTGTAAATAGGGGTGATAGTTGGCATAATTGTGTGGTCTTTGTAAAATTGATAAAAAAAACTAGCCCAAAGTAAAAAAAATTAGATAAAGGATGGTCCAAAATAAAACCTAGGTAAGAAAAGGTAGAACAAAATGGAAATCACTCAAACCATATTTTTAGAAGCATTTACTAACTAAAATTCTAATGTCTAATGCTAGTATGTACTTAAAAGAAAATCTTTAATAAACATTTACTAACTAATATTTCAACCGATAGATTTTACGGTCTTATTTAACATGACTCAAAATTGCTAAATTTAACTTTCTAGTAGCATACTCTAAAGTGGAGTGACTTGAATCCTGCTTCATCTCTTTAATTAATCATCACCCTTTTAGGTGAGGTTGAAACCATTTTGTTAGCCGTTAGCTCTTAAACAGATTAACCGTAAAAGAGATCCTAAGTAGAAACAGTAAAACAATTAGAAATAGAAAGGGTTTACCACATCACTCACTGTAAAGATGTTTGTAAACAAGTTTCTTATTACGTGTATCGAAATCTACAAATAAACAAGTTTGACTATTGTGTTGTGTGCATTCCATCTCTAGAGGCTAGACGGGCATGAGGTCATACCCAGAATCCAAGGACCGTAGTACTAGACCGCAGAAGATCCAGATCTGGGAAGAAAAGCAGTGGGAAAGCAAGCCGTTTCCGCGTTGAAACAGATTTCCTCCTCTCCTCTTCTCTTTCCTCTCTCTCCTCTCCGCCCAACCCTTGACTTCCCATTCTATTCCATCTCTCTCTCTCTCTCTCTCTCTCTCTCTCTCTCGATCGTCTTCTCCACTTCCTCCTCGCATTTCCCACTAGTGAGGCGGAGGCCATAGCCATGGATCCCTTCCACCACCTCAACTCCTCCTTCTCCAACCCCTACCACCCACTCCTCGCCTCCCCGCCCCACCACTTCGCCCCCGACCCACTCCCCCCACCTCCTCCTCCGCCGCCGCCGCCGCTGCTCCCCGCCGACCCGCCGTCGCTCGAGCGGGAGCGCCTCCCGCAGTGGTCCCACGCCGAGACCGCCGCCTTCCTCGCCATCCGCGCCGACCTCGACCACTCCTTCCTCTCCACCAAGCGCAACAAGGCGCTCTGGGAGGCCGCCTCGGCGCGCCTCCACGCCCTCGGCTTCGCCAGGACCCCCGATCAGTGCAAGTCCAAGTGGAAGAATCTCGTCACCCGGTTCAAGGGCACCGAGGGCGCCGCCGCCGTCGCCGCCGCGGGGACGGATCAGATGCAGGGGGGGCAGGGCGGTGGTGCGGCGGCGAGGGGGTCGTCGTCGTCGTTCCCGTTCCATGATGAGTTGAGGAGGATTTTCGACGCCAGGGTTGAGAGGGCGCGCGCATTGGAGAGGAAGAAGGTTAAGGGGAAGGATCCTGATGATGACCACGACGGTGGTGGTGATGGGGATGAGGATGATGAGGAGGAGGCGGATCAGCAGGTCGACGAGGAGGACGACGGGGCGTCCGGGGACACGACGAGGGCCGGGTCGAAGAAGCGGAGGAGGAAGGCGGCGGCGGCGGCGAGGAGGACGGGTTCGACGGGCGGGGTGGAGGGCGAGGTGGAGGCGATGCTGCGGGAGTTCATGCGGCGGCAGATTGAGATGGAGGAGCGGTGGATGGAGGCGGCGGAGGCGCGCGAGGCCGAGCGCCGCGCCCGCGAGGAGGAGTGGCGGACCGCCATGGTCGCGCTCGGCGAGGAGCGCCTCGCGCTCGTCCGACGCTGGCGCGAGCGCGAGGACGCGTGGCGCGCGCGCGCCGAGGAGCGCGAGGAGCGCCGCCACCAGCTCGTCGCCGCACTCCTCGCCAAGCTCGGCGCCGGCGACGCGTCCGCCTGAGATCGATCGATCCCTCCCCCCATTGTTCCATCCGCACCGCACCGCCGCCGGTACGAACCAAATCCCCTACCACCTCCTCCTCATCAACAGCATCTGCATCATGTACTGCAACTGCTTGATGATGATCTTGTTGTGTTCTTCCAAATGGAGATCGAATCGATCATAATTCTTGGATTATTCTTCATTGCTCAGGACGATGCACTGCCGCGAAGCGCGCGCGCCACGCCCGGCCCGATACATTTGCTATTTATGTTAGATCAGTCGTTTCGTTTCTAGTGATCGATCAATCAGTCCATGGTCTTTCTCTCATCTCATCTTTTGTTAGGGTTTCCCTTTTCTCTGTAGAAGACAATGAGAGGTTGGTCAAGAAATTATAAGGGTTTTGCAACTGAGATGCATCAAACATCTTCCTAGTAATTCTTTAGTTTCTCTACTAGCTATCTATCCAGCCCATGCCATCTGCAAGCTCTGGTCTTATCAAGCTTCAGGAGGAAGCTGAAGCTAGCTGCTAGCTTTTCCAACGCATGGATGGAGATGCATTTATGCATGCCTTTGCATGATCAATCGATGTGCTATCTATCTATCTATCTATCTATCTATCTATCTAACTATCTTTCTTTCCTCTCTTCTCACCATGAGTCCACCATGACCACCACTAGCTCTTCTTTTGAAGATGATCGGTAGAATCTCTGCAGGGAAAAAAATGGTGGTGGTGTGTGTAGTGTGTACGTGCTCCCCTTAATTATGTCTGCTTTTCAGAGGAGATCGATATCTCTCTCTGTGCGCAGGCAGAGGTGTAGCTTTTGGGCGACATGGTCTCGCTAGATCTTTCCTGCTTTTCAGTTGCATGGTAAAGAGATTTGCGTCTGAAAAGTTTCTCTCTTGGTGAGAGAAGAAAAAAGATGTGTGGATGGAGCTAAGCTAGCCATAGGATATATATATATATATATATATATATATATATATATATATATATATATATATATATATATATGATATATATGTCTAGACATATAATGCATATATGCATGCATGATGGGGGTGCAGTGTGCAGTCTTTGGGGTTGGGTTGGGTTGGGTTTGCTTTGCTTTGCTTATCATGGAGGAAGGGAATTGATGCCCTGCATGAAAATATGCCTATGTATGCAGGACCTCCATGTGTGTGGTGAGAGGAGAGATAGATTGAGGTGTAGAAGCCATAATTAACAGCCACTAGAACAACAATATAATGCTGAGTAATGCGCCATGCATATGTTGGTGACGCTAATTGCCTGCCTGATTAGTTTAAGACAGGCTCGCTAATGATGTCAAATGCGCGTCATAGTATGCATCATGGTCATGCATGGCATGCCCCTAGTAAAGGGTGCGTCATGCATGGTATGAAACCATGGACCAGCTGCTGCACAGTGTGTACGGGTAGAAAAGTAGAGTATGAATGCAAGTTTATACATGTACACATTCATTTTTTGTCAAGAAATTGCAAGCCAATATTATTTGTGCAGTTTAGCCGCTTGATTAAGTAGTTTTAAGTTTTTTTAGTCAGCATATATATTAGCTAACTATCTGTTTGGATATATTTGTACCGCTTAATTTGTAGTGCTTGCATGAGATTCTGTAATTATCATTTATCAAAAATTAATATATATTCTTGCCTAAAAAGTAGTACTATCTAAGATAGAGAAATCATATATACATAAAAATACACAGTAGTTAAGCTCATACTGCTACTATATATGTATGTGAAATCTTCAAGTGAAAGCCACATCAATTACGTGTTAGACTGCTCTGCCACCCCTAGCTGTTAATTACTTTAGTGCATGTGATAGTAGCTTCCAGCATACTCAATCGTGCGTGGTCAGTAACGACAACATTTTGTTGTGGGAAGGACGGTCGTTTTGTGATCATGCATGCAGGGTCTGTAACTAACATTTGGTAAGATATATATATATATATATATATATATATATAGACAACAACAAATAATTAGTATTTATTTTAAAACTAACATGCATGCTTAGTCCATCTGCACTTGATTCCTTGATTGTGCTCGAGGGTAAAAACTTGCTTTCTAGTCCCTTTAAACTCTATCTTGTCATGCATGCCATCATCAATTTAATTAATTAAGTACTCAATCCTATGAATTTTGCTCCGTCAGCGTATCATCAGTCTAGCCATTATATCTAAGATATGCACAAATTGCCTAGTTGGTACGTTTCAGCTTTCTTGACATGTCCTGCTCACTGTTCACTTTTGGTGCGTGTGACCTTGAGTGTTCACAATGGCAACAAGCAATCAGACTAGTGAGATGATGACTAGCAAGATGTTTTCATGGATTCCAAATGTTTGTTTGGCTCTAGCCTCAATAATATGTATGGTCAATAAGTGATGATTCGATATTTGGTTTTTTATTAATATATAGTTAATAATTTGAAGCTATTTGATGTATATATAGTCACTAATTACTCAGCTACTAGAGGCATTATTTCGGTGCGTATATATATCTCTCTCTCCCATGCATATGCACTACTATACGAATATATTTCGTGTGAATGTTGTCAAACTTTATGCAAGCTATTTAAGATTTGAAATTTTGCGCCATGCTGCTATAGATGCATGAATTTTATGAAAATTTTGTGAGATTATCAAAATTTTATGAATTTTATTATTATCTCTACACAATATTTGAAAATATCGTACCACTCGGTATATATGCACCTATTAATGTGGGTAGAAAAATATTGAAATGTTGAAATAAACGGTGCATGTATTTTCCCACAGTTGCCACCAGTATATATTACATATATAAATACTGAAATAAACAGCTTAGCATCCAGGCATCTTTCATCTTTGGCTCTTTGGTGATAGACTACTGCTTCATTATTCAATTTCATTTCATATAATATATAGTACTTGCATGTTGATTAGAAGATCTTCTTCTTGTTGCTTCTGTTGTTTCTTGTAAATATGCATGACTTCTTTTTTTGTTTGTTTTCATACTTGGGCATCAATTATTTTTCTATTATTATAGTGCTCACAGATTATGACGATTTCATCACGTCAATCTGATATCATTCGGTTCTCACTAGATCTTCCCAGCTGGAAGTAGAAAATGCACACTTTGTTATCTTTTACTAAGAAATTACTGGTTGGCAATACATGTCAAAGATTTATCTTGACCTTGCTACTAGGGTAATTCAATTTGCAATAATCCGTAGAATAATTTAACTCCCTAATATATAGGTTTGCATTGGATGGGAAGAAAATGACTGCCGAATCTATGATGGAGTAAGCAAAAATTAACAAGAATTTATATGATCGATACAAGGACAATCGATCTCGGCTGGCCCACAAATTTCAGGTGTGAAGTCATCAGTCGCATGTTTAGCCAAAATCTGGAGAGACCACTTGACACACGCAATTAATATATTCCCCAGTACAGTCTAAAGAACCAATATATATTATTTGATACATATGTTAATATATATACTGATGTGACTGACAAATAGACAAACGAGATTAAATTGTGGGTTTTACAATACCTGAATCATCCTTAAGAAGCAAAGGATTATACAGCAGTGACTGATGGTGATTGATTCAACGGTGACTTTTGGCGATATGTTCTGATTAAGGTCGTCCATGCATCAATATCGTATCCTGACAAGTACGTGTATCACATAATTCTTCACTAGCTTGATTTTTTTATGTTGTTACTTAGTAATATACTACATCTTTTTCTAATATATAATACCGTTTACCTTTTAGCGTTCGTTTGATCATTCATCTTTCTTATCATGAATATTCACAAACATAAAAAATATAAGTCATATTTAAAGAAACCTTAATTGTAAATCAAATCACAACAAAATAAATATTAATTACATATTTTTTTATATAAGTAAGGTTAAAAAATCGATTGTATTTTTAAAAGTTAACAATATCATATATTAAAAATTATAGTCGGAGTAATATAAGCTAGCCCCATATATATATATATATATATATATATATAGAGAGAGAGAGAGAGAGAGAGAGAGAGAGAGAGAGAGAGACGCATGCCATAAGCCACCATCAGTAATTCAATGTAAAAGTTAGGCCCTGTTTAGTTCTATTTTACGCTGTCATATCGAATATTTGGACACATATATGGAGTATTAAATGTAGAAAAAAAATCAATTACACAGATTGCGTGTTGCGAGACGAATTTTTTAAGCCTAATTGTGTCAACAATATAGTGCTACACTAAACATTTGCTAATAATAGATTAATTAGGCTTAATAAATTTGTCTCGCAGTTTTCGGTGGAATCTGTAATTTGTTTTTTTATTAGACTACATTTAATACTTCAAATGTGTGTCCGTATATCCAATGTGACAACCAAATCTAAACAATATTCCTTCGTTTGTCAATGCCATAGCTAGCTAGTACTAGCTTTTTCATGAATAGTTATATATTGTCTTGCGTGTGTCCTTCAAGATCGCAACAAGCGAACAATTGTCGTGCTGACACGTTACTGCCAACTAATTTTGTCGCTGCATCGCATGGCCTTTGCTGCCAAGTTGTTTGCATTATTTTGTAATCGCGCGTTTTCATGATTTGGATCCAAGTTGCAGCTGGCAACTCGGTTAAACAAGCATGCATGCGTGACGCTACAAACTTAATTCGATGGGCTATTTGGATGGGCACAGCAAAATATATTTTGATAAAGTATATCGTGTCGTTATTGGTAATAAAGTGTTGACCACAATTCTAACAGGTAGTGTGACTGAAATATGTATATATGTGGCAACTATATTGGCCAGCTACGTTAATTGCTAATCTCCATTAATTCCATAGGAAATCAAAGTTCCCATGTTACAAATTTTGGACCTTCCGACCAACTTTGAAATTTCTATACCATGACCTCCTTTTTCGGCGAGCTCGTTAGTCTCCGGGAACGGTGGGCGGCGACTTTCGGCTAAGTATCGGGATTGAGAGAGTACAGGGAGGGATAGGAGGGGAGGGGTGGCTCTGGCGGCTTAGAGGGATGGCAATGGGCAAGTAAACAGCGAAGCGGCGAGACAAGACAGAGGCGTTATACCAAAAATACGGGGTTAGCTGCCAGTGGTGGCCCGATGTTAGCGTTAGGGGTGATGGTGGAATTTCTGGTGGCAAGAAACCGTCAAAGATGGGTAATATATATGGCTGCGCAAGGGAACCTCTCCAACTCACCTTGGAGAGGAAAGGTGGGAAAGGGGAAGGAGGAGGTCCGATGGGCCTGCTACCATTGTTGACGCCTTCCGGCATCGACCAGACCTGGTGGTGCGACGGTGGCAACAGGGGAATCGGCGACGCACGAGCAGTGGCGGACGCAGGATTAAAATAAAGATGGGGTGAGGATGCTCGTCTCAATAAGAACAACTAAACGGAAAAAATACCATATTTATGTTGTAATCATATAAACATATAGTATAATCAATAAATTAAGGCAAACAAAAAACAAAAATGATATTAAAATAAAGTAATAATTTTGCACCATACATAATTCATCATACATAAAAAGATACTAGTAAACATATCAATTTGCAAATATGAGTCAATTCATAAAACATGGTTGATAGATATCTTTTAAAAAATAACTATATGAGAAGATATCGCATACCTAAAATAAGATGATTATTATTTTGTTTAGAAGGGAGAGAGAGAGAAAAACATTAGGCACCTAACTATAGTAGGGGACGGGTGTGAGCAGTGTCAAGGAATTGACTCAGGAAAGCATCACATATACAGGATTAAAATTGGACACTTGAGCTGCTTATTTATAGGCCAATTTGTGAATTGGATGTGGTGGTAGGCGGCCCAAGAAGGATATGAAGGGTTGGGGCGGCGCGGGCCGTAGCTGGGCCGGCCGCCCAACCCCGCTTAATGGGTGGTACCGCCCCTGTGCACGAGAGTGAGGAAAAAGTTAAAGGAATTGAGGTTGCACAAATGTCAGATCAAATTCAACGGTTCAGAATTCATATGACATGGAGGTGGATTTTCTTTCACAAATTGTGTAGCCAATCTCATATATATATACATACATATATATATATATATATATATATACACACACACACACACACACACACACACACACACACACACCAACGAGCGGTGAAGTTTGACACTCAACTATAATAAGTATGCCCTAATATGTATGGTGGCAATCAGCTGCAACATCATAAATCTCTTTATACTCCTATTCCTATATACTGGAATAATATTATACTACAGCAGTTCAAGCAACAAGCTAGAAAAAAAGTAACAAACTCAGCGTAAAAGTGGAATTGTTACAAGGATCAGTTAAATTTGATCAAGTTAATTACAGTGTGAATGAATTAATTTAACTGGCGACGACAGTTTCAGCCTTTTATGGCGGTAGGTGTGAAATCTTTTTCCTGTGTACACACGATCCAACGGCTGTTCGTCTATATATAGTTTAGCATGTACACATGCATAAGCATAATGCATACGTACATGCGCGTGCACGTCATCAATGCATCGATTTCATGCTGGATGATATTCCCTCCGTTCCACGTTTTGATCTCTTAATATAAAAATCCATTTACATCCGTATGAATTTGGACACGTGGTATATTGTAAATAGACCCATATATAAATTTATTCAAAACCTAACCAAAACACTTATAATTTAAAATAGAGAAAGTAATATTAATATATAGCAACTGCTATTTAATGTTTGTTAACAAAGATCTGGTCAAAATTTTAAAGATGTGACTGTCGATAGTTTATCAAATGATTAGTTTAAAAAGAAAGTAAATGGCACGTGTAGATTTATCTTAAAAAATATTATTATAAATTATTTCCTCCGTTTCACAATGTAAGTCATTCTAACATTTTTCACATTCATATTGATATCATGAATCTAGATAGATATACATTGTGAAACGGAGGGAGTATTAGATTCTATAAACTTATTTAATAAAAAATCAGTCAAAATTCCAAAAGTTGGTCTTGTCCTTCATGTCTGACTTGTGACTATAGGAGTATATATAGAGTAGTCATTCCATTGTAAAAATAAACCAATATGGAGTAATAAATCAATAGTACTACACAAACTCGATTGGTTTATTTTTGAGCGGAGGAGGTATATATAATATATATTTGCATTGATCAGTGATCTAGTAACTGACATTTCTATTCAATATGAGAAGATGGACAGCCCATTTAATCCGTTTGTTTGTTGATTAATTAACGGATTCCATGTCGTCGACAAAAAAAAAGGAGAAAAATATAATAAAACCTTAATAAATAAATGATTGGGCTTGTTAATGGGCTTCCTCTTCCTGGGCCTGAGCGGTGGCGCGCTTGGGCCGCCGGCCCATCTCGTCTCATCTCCCCCGTCGCCGTCGAGCTCGACGGGGACACGACTCGTTATCCAAAACCAAGGGTACGTGACCTCCACCTCCCCACTTCACTAGCTACTCCAGTCAGCTAATCCCTTCCCGAAAATATCTCGCCGTCGTTGCGCGCGGTAGCTAGCTAGCTAGCTGCGCCATCGACGACGAAGTCTCATCCATGGAGGCGGCGGCTGCGCTGACGACGACGACCGGCGCCCAGTACAGCTGCTGCTTCGGTCTCGCGCATGGCGGCGCCGCACAACGGAGGAGGAGGACGGCGGCGGGTTTCGGGGCGGCGAGGTGGTCGGGGCGGCGGCTGCGGGCGCTGCCGCCGCAGGTGAGCGAGTTCCTCAGCCCCGAGCAGCTGGTCCCCGGCTCGCCGGCCGACACCGGCGACGTCTCCTCCCTCATCCCAATCAGGCAAAGTACTCTATACATATTGTACTTCACCAGCATTATCCTACTCGCTCCGTTCTATATTATAAATCGTTTAAATTATTTTTTATCAATTTTTTTTAGGTTTGATCAAATTTACAGAAAAAATTAGCAAACATTTATAACACCAAATTAGTTTCATTAGATTTAGCATTGAATATATTTTGATAATATGTTTGTTTTGTATTGAAAATGTTACTATATTTTTCTCTAAACTTAGTCAAACTTAAAAAAGTTTGATAAAATAAAAATTCGAACGATTTATAATATGAAACGGAGGGAGTACTAAGTAAAGTATATACTGGTACCTGCAATACTTGATAGCAAAATCAAGCAAGTACAGGATGAAATACGTGATTAACTTATGCTTAAGGGTTAAGACTCTAATTTTAGGATTACAGAGCTAATCAATACATTGTGTTAACTAACTTTAAGCTTATATGGCATCAGATAATATTACAAGACATGTATATATATTACCAATGAAAATAACAAATTATTCCTTGGCCTTCGAAGAAGCAGCAAGATAATGTCAGGAAAGACAATGTTTTGTATGAACAAAATATAACTGTATGATTGTATCTTATATGAAAGTGGGTGTAAATTTATTGTGTTCCAATGGGCTATGAAACATCCAAATTCTCATCTTTAACTGGGCCAAACTAGGCCTTGCTGTGTCTTGGGCTAGGTAGAACCTGGGTTGGGCTTGGGCTAACCAGGTCATTGTTGGAAGTGCCTTAGTTTCACATGATTTTTTATTTTTGTGCTTAGCATTTTTTATCTCCAACAATTGACAAAAACCAGGACTTGATAGTCACTGTATGGTCAGTGAGCTCAGACTCAAAACATGACAGTCTAGATGGTTACTGTATTTTACACCAGCTGCAAAAACATGCGATCAATACGCATCTAATTAACAGCATAACCTCACATCTGACAAATGCCACAAAATTCAGGACTCATTGATTTTTGCCTCTCTGTTTTTTCTTTAACTTTTGTTGATGGATGTTCTTGCGCCTGTGTGCAAAATGCAGTGCTCTGATGCTGTTCTTCTACTTCGTGTCCAACTGGGTGGTGCCTGAGTTAATCATGAAGGATTTGCAGGAGCCCAAAAAGGCTGAAGAATCAGAAGAAGCTGCCTCTTCACCGGCAGCAACCATGTCGGTCGCCGGCGACGGCCAACCTGAAGCTAAAATCAGACTCAAGGTGAAGAAGACAAAGAAGAACAAGAAGGCTGCCATGAAGGTGTAGTGCACACAAACATGCATCAATATAATGCATGCTAGTATGTTATTGCCCCCCTCATGATGATAATAGATAGCATCATCAGTCAAAGATCACACTAAAGTGCTAATTATAATCAAAGAGAAGATTAATTCTCCATCAGAAGGGGGGGGCTTACATATAGTATGTACTCATCATGTTCTGAATCTGTGAGCCATTCAATTGAAAGATAATTATTCCATTGCATATTTGCATCTATGCTTAGCTAGCCAGTACTAAGTATCAACAACAGCTAGCACTAGCTAATAAAGTTTTGGGAGAAGAATGAAAGGTGGAGAGGGCATTGGTACAAACAGGTGGGGCTTGTATTGTGGTAGCAGGCAAAAGTGGGCAAATCAGTCGGTTATCAGTGTGGTGGGCTGAACTCCACAAAATCCTCTCATCTCATCAACTGGTTGTTGTTGTTGTTGTTGTTGCCATCACACACAACAGCATCAATGGGAAAGCTTAGGCATGCTCAGCTCAAAAGTAGGAAGGGACCAAGGGCAGGCAGGATCATCAACTTGCAAAGCATGTGTAGGTTTCAGTTTCATGGTTCAATTCAACAATCAACACCAAAAACACTTCATGGATCAGAGAGATTTTTTAATACGTGAAAATCGTTCGTTAGCGCCTTTTTAGGAACAAATTAGGAATGACATAGGATTATTTGAGGAATTTTTTTTCAGGGTATGGAATTCTAAGAATCTTATGGAGAATTTTATCCATGTGGCTCTCTCAAACAAAAGAATGAACTTTTCTGCATAGCCATGTGTTCACATGTAATAGGCAGCCACACAGGAAATCTAACAGAAGGTCAAACTTTCTTTAATACTCTCTCCAAATTCATATAGAAATTTATCCAATAGCTCAATTGAGCAAATCATATTCTGCAATTCCTTATGATTCAACTTGGCGAGCCACTTTTGTTTTGTATTTTTTTTTATATGGCAGATTCCACCAGAGTGTAAATCTGTTGTTCCAGAATTTCGCAATTTGTCCGGTACCATGCCCTTCTAGAATATCTGACGAGACCAAAATATGGAGGCATAACCACTTGCAATGAACTGAACTGAAACCATATGTAAAGTATGCTGCAGAGATCGATGAAGGATGATAGATAGATATATTCCATTTCTTGCTTTGAAGCAACAGAACAAAAAAACCCACACCCACACATCACTCCTCCCATTTCGATCAGAAATAGGTACTGCAAAATCTTCCTGCTTGCTTCAGAATCCAGAACTCTCCATTAATTTCTCGAAACAACTGCCTCTAGTACAGTACAGTGATAGAAAAACATAACAAAATGATAAAGAAAAAGAGAGCAGGATTCAGTCAATTGACAGCCACAGATAAAAGCAAGAAACATTTTTCTTTCACTCCTGCCGATTTTGTTTCTGAATTTCTGATGACAGTTAATTTTTGTGGTTAAGGAGGAGTCCAGAACATCAGATGCCACTAGAAAGAAGATCATTCAAGGCGATGAGTGGTAGAAAATCATCCACACAACTAAGGCCAGGGTAAAGCCAGCCGGCCTCTACTCTGAAGAGTCAAAAACCAAAAAAGATTCAGAGAAAGTTTCAGTGAGAGAGAGATGACAATTCAGAATTCACTGTGATGATGGAGGTGGTGGTGTTGGCGATGGCGACAAGCCTCCTCTCCACACCGCAAATAATCTCCACCATTATCGCCATCGCTAGCTAGATGCCGGTGGAGTTCGTGCTTGCAATTCGGTTTGTCACCACGCTCTTGCTGGGACGGACAGTGCAGGTCTCTTTCATGGCCATGGAAAATTTTTCTCCCCTTCCCTTTAATTCCTTTTCCTTTGGGAAATTGCAACCTGAATATATGATAGCTAGCGAGTTCAATCGATCGATCGATAGACGATGACGAGATGTGTGTTTTCACCAGAGGTTGTTTTGCTCCTGAAATATTCTTGCCTGTTCTTTTTTTTTTCTATGGTAGAGATTGTGACAAAAAATCAACAGTTCATCATCCATGGCATGTGAAATTTTTCAGTGAATATATATATACTGGTTTAATTATTACCATTTGTTTGGCTTATTGGCATCCAGAAAATGGATGTACACTCGTTCTCCAGATATCTGGCACTAGTACTTCTTTCCAGTAAAGAAAAAATAACGTTTTTTTTTTCTGCATAATTGAGACAAAGTTATGCAAGTGCAATATCATGAAACTTCTCATATGTTTTCATATGTATGCATACCTATCATTGGGACAAATTCAGACAAATTAAGCAGAGCCACAACCAAAACAATTAGAGGAAACGACCAAGAACCACCATGATTGCTGAGTCCACTACTACTACATGCATCATGTTAGTAGTGGGGTTGGCTAAACATGGAGACACAGCAAAACATTGACGACAGTTTTTTGCCCAAATCCAAAGTTGGGTTAGGTATCACTTGGCTTGTTTTTGCCCTAGCTGGCTCTATATCTACATATATGGCCACCAAAAGCTTTGCTTTTGATGCAACCAATCATCACCATCATCATCAACTCGAGCCTGAAAAATTGTAATAGTATTATTATCATTGTTGCATCTATCAAGGGCTTGTGTTAATTGAGGTGCATAGTTCAGAATAGTTAAAGAACTGAAACCCTGAGCCGACCATGAATTAAAACAGACAGATTGATTAGAGAAGCTAATCAGTGAGTGCCAACCTGCATCTATCATCAATTTTTGTTTGTCCAGACCTTTCATTATGATGGAGCATGGTACTACTACCTGTGTTGTGTCTGAATTTACATCTGCTACTCTGAACTTTTCTACTCTTCAGTTCAGTGTATACGTACCGTATATACGTACACGTGTGGGGCCCACTCAGGTACGTAGCACGTAACAGTGTACTTTACTCATCATCACTTGGCGCCATATCATCTTGTCCGTTGACTGGTCAACCAGTCAACGTAGAGGCTTAGCTGCTGACCAATTGACCATGCAAGCACGTGTAACTTGGACTAGAATTGTAAAGCAGAAGCTGCCTGCAGGTAGCTAGCCAGCTTCAGTGAGCTACTGTTTCAAATTACAGCTATAATCTTACAAATTAAGCTGTCAGATATCAATCCAATTGTGCATGAATCCATCCCAACTCCCAAGTTTGCAACTGTAACTAATTAAATTAACCTGTCCCCATTTCTGCGAGTTAATTACAGCTAGCAAGCTAGCTATCAATCAGTCGGTTCCAAAATTTGCACACAACCGTTATGAAAGGGACAGTTAGTTCTATAATACAGTAGATGTGTAAATTACTGGAGTTTAGTTGGTGGTTAACAGATGACAGCTGAGAAGGCCGGTGTTCGTTGAAAATCTTGAGGGCCAGATTAGCTGCAGTCAGATTTCACTTAGCCGAGGCAGAAAGGCAGCTGAGCTGAGCTGGTCTAGTCTTGCTGCGAGACCATTTATGAAATGCTGACTTGGCCTTCTAATTGCCATCAATTATCTTATTTTTAAACTGCCGTTAATTAATCAACTGATAGCTACTTGCACGCGTGATGCGCATATTTATATGCGTGTGCTTGAAGGCCATCTCCATCCGACCATGGGTCTGATGGCTGCATTGAATCCAGGGCACACAATTTCTCATACATGTATAGCTTAATTAGTAGCAGTAATTAGCTTTATTGTACAACAGTAGTTATTTTCAGATTAATTTTTCTGTACTTCAAAAAAATACATTTTCTAAAAAAAATACTTTACTTATATTACTTAGACTATTTGTTATGAGTTACTTCCTCCGTACTCGTAAAGTAAGTCGTTTAGGACAATGTTTAAGTCAAACCTTGGGAATATAAATAATGAATAACTCTCAAGTTGTTGAGTTTGAAAATATAAAAATTATATGAATAGATTTGTCTTGAAAAATACTTTAATAAAAGTATACATAAGTAACAAGAAGTCAAATTTGTGTTTTGGAGACCGCGTCGTTGTTCTAAACGACTTCCTTTACGAGTACGGAGGGAGTATTAGTTATGTTTATTTATTAAAGTATCTAATTTATCCATATAATATAATTGAGTAGATAATCGACAATAACAATCCGCTGAATAATCTATTCGAAAATAAACATAATTGTTCAGGGAAGGAATCCGAATAAGAAAAGTCATGCCACTATAGTGCTAACCGAACATAATATTCTACCTGAATGTCTGAATGATCTGATGGATGCTGCATATGCCTTAGCTTGCTCCATTATCTACAACATCGATGCAAAGTTGAATTGATTAATTAATTATAATGAAAAACTGCCCGTGCGAAGTGATGGAACACGTGCGATTTAGATCGACACCAACAATAACAAGCATGATCTGATCTATCTAACCCATTGCAGGCGTCAGATCGATTAGATTCCCCCACATGCATAATTAGCATATGCTTAATAATCCGATCATCTTGTAGGTCAGCTGAATTCCTCATGGTGCCCAGCTTAGCTGCATCTGCAGATAAGGATATGAGTGACCGACCTGCTAATTACCATCGGTCCTTCATGCTTTGTCTTTGTGGGTGGTGGGGCGCTTAATTTTTCATGCAGCATAATGCTGGAAATTTGACAACACATGGAGAGCTTTTGGCAGCTTGAGAGTGTCACTCAGCTAGCTGAAAATTGTTCTTGTCGCTCACAGAAACACAGGAGGTTAAGGCTCCGTTCGAATCTTAAAGATTAGGGTTAAGTAAAGGCACGCAAAATAAGAAAGTCATTAGCGTATGATTAATTGAGTTTTAATATAACATAATTGAATAATAGATTATTTGATATTTTAGAGCAACTAAGTATTATACAGAACATACCGTTTAATAGTTTGAAAATGTGCTAACAGATATCAAGATAGAATTTATATCTTAATTAGAAAAGAACATGGTCTAAGAATAAAACGATTAACTCAAGACCATGTTCTTTTCAGTTTATTCACTGAATTATTGAAAACATATTATCTGCTTTACCCTTTAAAAAATATGTTTTCTTAAAGAAATGATTTCTTATGTTGCATTGTTAAGACCATAATTTGTTAAGTTTACTTCTTAAAATAATTTAAACTAAATTAGGCCTAAGGCAATGGATTTGATCGTTTGTGCTGGCTGGAGCTGCGGTAGCCGTCAGAGCACAAACGAGGTCAATAATTTTACAGATCCATATGAGCAGAATAATCAAGTCTGCATATGTGTGCAGTGCAGTGCAGTTGTTTAAGGTGTCGAGGAAACCATGGAGCAATTCCGGTCAGATTTGCTGCCCTGCACTGCCCTCATCTTCAGAAATCTTCAGAAAATTCAGATTCAGATAAGATGAACAGCAGCAGCAGCGGAAAGTCAGAGAAATATTTTAAAAAAATTTTAAAAAAAAACTGGCAGTGAAGTGAAGGTGAAGGCGTGGACCTGGTCGTCTCGCTGGCAAATCCCGTGCGGCTAACCGTAAAGCAGCTCACGCCGTCAACTCAACCAGAGTGGAACACTGACTCGGAAACCCACCGCGTGGGCCCCACCACCCACACCCCCCGACGCACAAACCCCCCGCTACCACCGCACACCCGAGCCCCTCTCACTGACATCCTGTCCCCACATCATTCTGGCCCCACATGTCATTGACTTAGGAGTATTTACCACCCTGGCGCGCGAAAAGTCAAGGGGCGACGCGAGCGCGCGCCACGTGTCCCCGATATTTGCCGGCATGGGGGGTAGGGTGACGTGTCCGCACGCGATTGCCGCGTCGGCATCCGACGTGGGGCCCCCATGGTGGGAGGAGGACGAACCGGTCCAAGCCTAACGGCGCGGGTTAACGGCGTCACCCACGCGTCGGAGTCGAGTGGAGTCAGCCACACGGGCACGCGTGAAACTCGTTTTGCCTTTCGGCTCGGAGTGGGGCCCACCACCCGGCAGAATAATAATGTTACCCCGGGTAGGGGCCCACCTGGCAGTGGTCAGGCCGTGGGGCATATCTGCCAGTCGGCACAGCGCGTTTTTGGTTTGGATGGGATGCAAATGCAACCGTGTGGTGTGGGCACACACGCTTGTGCACACAGGAAACTACTTGGTTATTACTCACTCCTACTAGGAGACAAAACCCACAAGGGATGAGAGTGAGAGTGGTACTTTTATGTCGAAGTAGCTCCGTATTACTTTCTTGATTAGTTTGAAATTGTATTATGTAGTAAGTAAATTATTCGATTTCAATGAATAAACACGATATGGTGTACTACAATTAAATAATGTATAGAATTGAGAAAATTACTACCTTACAAAGATGATGTTGTTTTTCTCTCTCAAAATTTTTAGAGAATCGCACCACGTATAAGTTTAAAGCACACCACCATTGGCACTAGGGGTAAGAGTTTGTAGGCTAGTGAATGTCCGCGTATTAGTTTTGGAAAGTTTATCATGTCATAGGGCTAAAATATAAATAGTTCATAGCGCTTAGATTAACACTTTATGGTATGGATACCAAAGTCTTTCCATGCATTATTGCTTTCTCGATTGGTTTCTAATTATACTATCTAATAAGTAAATTATTCGAGTTTAGAGAATAAAAGATACATGGTACAAGGATTAAATGTTGTATAGATTAGGGTAAATCACCTTACAAAGATTATATTGTTTTTTTTACTCTCACAATTTTTTCAGAGAATTGTACCACATATGAGCTTGAGGTGTGAATCGCACCACCCTTACTCTAGGATTTGGAGCTTTGTAGGCTAAAGAATGTCCATGTGTTAGTTTTGAAATGTTGATCATTTCATAGGACTGAAATAGGGATAGTTCTTAAGAGCTTACACTAACACCTTATGATGATGGATACCAAAGACTTTCCACTATGCTAGTGGGTAACATGTTTTTGGTCCCCTTATTCGATGTACAATGAATTGAACAATGTTGTTTCTTATCCAACCATGTAAGTGATGACCTTTTTCTTATAAAGGGGCAATGACTTTAAAGCTAGCTATTTATTCTAAACTTTATATTCTTAGAGAGTTTTAGTCCGCTACAACACTAGCTCTCTATATAAACTGTAACATTTATCTGATTTTTCTTCCTGTAGATCAATGTGATTGGGATTATAGTTATTATCGTGTGATTAAATGCAAGTTGTACATCTTTATATATAACAACATAAGTTAACTAGAGAAACAAAAGGTATAATTGCAATAATGTTTGAACCTTCTACCCTGCTTCAACACCACAGACCGAGGACTGTGATGGTGAACCTTCGTTATCTATTAACGAGTTAGGAGTTGCAACGCCACGACTCCTTATCACCTGAATGCTTATAAAGGTGGCTGAGGGTTAGTCCAATGTTAGTCTTAGCTTGAGTGGACTTATAGTCCATTATCCATTAAAGTTATATTCCATAATGAGCATAGCAAAGTTTACACTCTCGATTCAGCTTCATTATGGTGGGTTCTTGACTCGCTTTACACCATCCGTTCCAAACTTAACCAATTCCTAAAAATTTACAGCCAAAAATTGATCATCATAGGACATAGAGAGTATATAGAAACAAGTTGTTAAATCTCATATATGCACTTTACATGGGGCATGTATTAAGGTAAAGTCTAATATGAGCTCTTTGTTGATACACATTATTCAGAGACTCCTACGATAGTCAAGACAAAAAAGACATCTTAACCATTAATACACAAAAATAGTTTTTTATTAGCTTTCTTTCATTTTCTCCCTCTGCGAGCAGAGGAATTTCTTTTAATAAACACTAAGAGTCGGCTCTAAGCCGATATCATAAGTAGCAACAATGTTTTCTCTTCCTCCCCTCTATCTTCCACGTCACCAAATTTACTTATATGATAACAGAGAGAGTCCGCTAATAAACACCGTTGTAGATACCTCATAAGTTTTCCCCCTCACGCTCGCGAAATGTTTTCTACTGGAGAAACACATGTGTGCCTACACCTGTGGCAACATTCATGGTACCCGCTCCAACCCCCCCCCCCCCCCCCCGCCAAAAAAAAACACAAACCAAAATCTCTCTCATCTTTTTTTTTTCCTTTACAAGAAAAACAAAAAAACGATGTAGAAAGGAAGGTCGAAAAGGAAAGGAAAAGAAAGGAGGATGCAGCGACGAAGAGAGGAAGAAAGAGGCTCTCTGATTTGTTTGCGTTTGTGCAGCGCGTCTTCCCTTCCTTTTGACCACGCGACACATCCAGCAGCCAAAAAAATAAAAAACCCAAAAAATAAAACGATTATTTTATTTTTGTGTAAAGAGAAGGGAAAAAAAAAACGCGCGAAGGAGAAGGAGACGAGCTGCTTCTTCGTCTCCAACTTCCCTTATCTCTATCAACCCCCATTCCTCCATTACTCTCCCTCTCTACATATACCCTTCCCCACCCACCTCCCACCCTCCCCTCTCCAACCACACCACTCTCCAAATCCATCCATCGATCGAGAATTCCTCTTCTCCCTCTTCTTGTTCTTCTTCTCCTCTCTGAATTTAACAAGAAATCAAGAACTAGGTGTTTGTTTTGACTAACAAGAACTCGGTCGAACACTCTGCGTGCGTGTTTGTTTGTGTGTGTCATGTGCTCTGGGCCGCGCAAGCCGTCCACACCGCCGCTGCCGCAGCAGCAGAAGGAGGCGACGGTGATGGCGGCGTCCTTGCTTCTTGAGCTGGCGGCAGCGGACGACGTGGCGGCGGTGAGGAGGGTCGTGGAGGAGGAGAAGGTGTCTCTTGGCGTGGCTGGGTTGTGGTATGGGCCTTCGGCGAGCGGCGTGGCGAGGCTCGGGATGGAGCGGAGGACGGCGGCGATGGTGGCGGCGCTGTACGGGAGCACGGGGGTGCTTGGGTATGTCGTGGCGGCAGCGCCGGCGGAGGCCGCGCGCGCGTCGGAGACGGATGGGGCCACGCCGCTGCACATGGCGGCTGCCGGTGGCGCGGCGAACGCGGTCGCGGCCACGCGCCTGTTGCTCGCCGCGGGGGCGTCGGTCGACGCGCTCTCGGCTTCGGGGCTCCGCGCCGGTGACCTCCTCCCGCGCGCCACCGCGGCGGAGAAGGCCATCCGGCTGCTGCTCAAGTCGCCGGCCGTGTCGCCGTCGTCGTCGCCGAAGAAGTCGGCCTCGCCGCCGTCGCCGCCGCCGCCGCAGGAGGCGAAGAAGGAGTACCCGCCTGACCTGACGCTGCCCGACCTCAAGAGCGGACTGTTCAGCACCGACGAGTTCCGCATGTACAGCTTCAAGGTGAAGCCGTGCTCCCGCGCCTACTCCCATGACTGGACCGAGTGCCCCTTCGTCCACCCCGGCGAGAACGCGCGCCGCCGCGACCCTCGCCGCTACTCCTACAGCTGCGTGCCTTGCCCGGAGTTCCGCAAGGGCGGCTCGTGCCGCAAGGGCGACGCGTGCGAGTACGCCCATGGCGTGTTCGAGTGCTGGCTCCACCCGGCGCAGTACAGGACGCGCCTCTGCAAGGACGAGGTCGGCTGCGCGCGCCGCATCTGCTTCTTCGCCCACAAGCCCGACGAGCTCCGCGCCGTCAACCCCTCCGCCGTGTCCGTCGGCATGCAGCCCACCGTATCGTCGCCGCGCTCCTCGCCGCCCAACGGGCTCGACATGGCGGCGGCGGCGGCGGCGATGATGAGCCCCGCCTGGCCGTCGTCCCCAGCGAGCCGCCTCAAGACGGCGCTCGGCGCGCGGGAGCTCGACTTCGACCTCGAGATGCTCGCGCTGGACCAGTACCAGCAGAAGCTGTTCGACAAGGTGTCCGGCGCGCCGTCGCCGAGGGCGAGCTGGGGCGCCGCGGCGAACGGCCTCGCCACCGCGTCGCCGGCGAGGGCCGTGCCGGACTACACCGACCTGCTCGGCTCCGTCGACCCGGCCATGCTGTCCCAGCTCCACGCGCTGTCCCTCAAGCAGGCCGGCGACATGCCCGCGTACAGCTCCATGGCGGACACCACGCAGATGCACATGCCGACCTCGCCGATGGTGGGCGGCGCGAACACCGCGTTCGGGCTGGACCACTCCATGGCGAAGGCGATCATGAGCTCCCGCGCCTCGGCGTTCGCCAAGCGCAGCCAGAGCTTCATCGACCGCGGAGGCCGCGCCCCGGCGGCGCGTTCGCTCATGTCGCCGGCGACGACCGGCGCGCCGTCCATTCTCTCGGACTGGGGCTCGCCGGACGGCAAGCTGGACTGGGGCGTCCAGGGCGACGAGCTGCACAAGCTCCGCAAGTCGGCGTCGTTCGCGTTCCGCGGCCAATCCGCCATGCCGGTGGCGACGCACGCCGCGGCGGCGGAGCCGGACGTGTCATGGGTGAACTCTCTTGTCAAGGACGGCCACGCCGCCGGCGACATATTCGCGCAGTGGCCGGAGCAGGAGCAGATGGTGGCATGATCATCAGAGGCTCATAGCAACCTAGCTAACCAAAAAAAAAGAAGTTCTTTCTTTCAATTAATTTTTCCCCTTCGTTTGCTTAATTTGATTCAAATGAGATGGTTTTTTAGTACATATTTAAGCTGTTCGCAAATAATATTGTTCATCAACAAAGAAGCATGTATACCCAAAGGGAGCTCTAGATTGATGAAGAACAGCTGATATTTACTCTATTAATTTTTGCCCCTCTCTTTGGGTTTTATAAAATAGTTGTATACAAGAATTCCAACAAGAGTTTTTATTTTACTCGATATATATTCATATATATCTTTGGGCATCAGTAAGATTTTGATCCATGTGCTGTCTGTCTTATGTTATTAACCATGCAAGATTCATGTTGTTCATCAGGAACATATGCTTATTATCAGCAGTACATCAATGGATAGATATATTCACCAGTATATATTCTTTGGTTCCTCCATGAGCATATCATATCTTCCTTTGCTTGATGCCTTCTTTATTTTTTTTTCCTTCTAAAGAGTGGATTATAAACCATTTGCATATTTGCAATTGATTATTCTCTCAAGTGGTTGGTGGGCCATAGGAGATAAACTGCAGAGCAATCACAGGTTAGTTTAGTGGAGATGGAGGCATGGTGCACCAATTGTGATCAGTGTTAGCATTATTATTATAACAAAAAGGAAGGAGCCATGCATCTTAAAGCAAGCCAAGTGATTAACTAATTATCATCATTGTGGTGGGTTTGGCACAAAACACAGAAATTGGGCCCCAAAGTCTGGGCATAAGGGCAACCAAGATACTAGAGCATGATAATCTCCAATAATTTAATGTTTTCTGAGTGTTGCCAATGTTGATTTTGCTTTGACGAAAAGCTTTTGTTCTAGAACATTGGGCTGGTTCCTCCTTAAATGATCACAAAGAATGGGTACATATCTTTTTTCTTCTCTGTTTTTCAGATTTGTTTTTTGGCTGATTGTATAATCTGATGAAAAGAGTACTGTTGTCCATGCTGTCTTTGGATTATATATATTTATGTGGGTTCAGCTGCTGTGTTTGGATACTCCGAATAATTGTAGCTGGTGTTGTATTCAATTCCTAATCATGCTTAAGTATTGTTCTTGCAGCTGGAGTAGATTTTGGAGAATTCTATGCGTGTCCAGATATTGAGCCATTAACTATGCACTTTCCAGCATCTCATTGCTGTTGGTGTTCTTATCTATTTATTTATTGTGCATTAGGAAACATGTTTTTGTAGATATGGTTATTTAACTTATTTTGTAATATAGAAAACCTTACTTGTTCTATGCTATTATTCTTGTGTACTTGCTCTTACCTGCTGTCTCTTCTTGTTTCCTACCCACTTCTTCTAGGCTGTATTTAGTTTCTTTCAAAGTTGTAAGTTTGGTTAAAATTGATACGATGTGACTGAAAAATTGTGTGTGTATGACAGGTTGATGTGATGGAAGAAGTTGGAAGTTTAGATCCAAAATTTAGATCTAAACACAGCCCTAATCTACTTTCGCAGCCTGCAAAATTGCATGTAAATGATATGACAGCAGAATTGTAATTTACCAAATTACAACAAAAAAGTTTACAATTCGTGCGGAAATTGAATTGTTTTATGTGAAATTCCAAGGGGCTGAAATAGTATCACATCTACTGATTTATTTTTTGTGGTTCCTTAAGGGGGTTGTTTCGGAAGCAGTCAAACTGTAATCTTCAAGACAAAATTAACATCCTGAGTAACATGCCAATCTGACACTATATGATTATTGAGTTAATCAGAAACAACTTGCGTCACAAGGAGGGATTATGGTTGGCTGATGAGTTGATTATTACATGGTCTTCGTTTGTATGCGAGACATTCAAACCTTCCTCCGAAAGCAACCTGAATTTTCTGAACTAATTTTATCAGTTCGTCGAACGAACGGCGACAAATCCTGTTCCAGATATGTTTTGGATTATTAACTGTGACTCATCAGCACACCATGATGTCCCATCTAATTGTCAAGCTCTTATCGCCTTATACGGATTAACAAATTGAGCAGCATCTTTTCTGCAATAGATAGAAAAGTGAAGCTCTCCCCTTCACGGGACTGATCATGATATATACTTGTTCATGCATTTGTCATCGATGTTGACATGGCAAAGACCTTTCTTATGGAATGTACACATCATTGACCTCATTTTGGTTGAAACTTTCCGACAAATTATTGCTCTGTTTAATTTCCTGCAGGAGAGAAATCAGATTGTCCAACCTCTCCATAAAGTTTCCTTCCATGCTGCAACTTTGAAGAAAATTTCTTGTTTTCTTTAATTAATTAGTTACTCCCTGCCAAGAACCGTCAGTTTCTTATCAACAAGAGGCTGTTCGTTGAATGTGATCCGTTCTAATCCATGGACGCTCCGACAAATCTCATAGAATCAGGAAACAGATTATTTTATATGTACTTCTGATGGAGACAGACAGGGTTTACTGCAGTTGGTGAAGCTGAAAATTGATCAAGTTACTACCAATCTTTGTCAACTAATATGAACCATAGAGTGAAAACACATGTGCTAATTTACATCAACTAACTAATATACATGTTGTTAGGTTTATGCTTGTACATGGAGTTAAAGTAAACATGTACAATTTCACTGCATATTACTAGCATATGGTTACAGCCTTGAAAGGAGAGAATTAATTTCATTGCATATTCGGGCTCGAGATTTTCTGAACCTGTTGTCTCTGCTACAATTCTCCAATCTTCTCCTCATGTTGTTGAGAGCTTGAGATTGTTCAGTTGCTTCGAATTGCCTGCATATTTCGATCAACCCTGAAGCTTGGATGTTTCATGGAGATGAGGCGGCCAGGTGAAGAATGTACAGTTTCAGAACCTGTCTGCATGAGTTCATCAGCTGTCTCAGATGTGAGCTGATCAAGAATCTCAGAGACCATGTCAGCTGCAATGTTCTCAGAATCACTAGTTAACCATATCACGCTGTTCAGATCTTCCTCAACCAGCCTGCAGATGAACTGCAGAGTGCCAGACACACCCGGGATGAACACCTCAGACTTGTTCATCACACTCCTGTTCCTCATCCCACTTTCTGAACATTTTGAGACATGGCAACTGCTAGTTTCAGGAGATAACGGGTTGTCGAGATCGTCGTTGAAATCGGGTTGCAGCTTCCTCCTTGAGCTCTGTTGATTGTTTGCAAGCCGAATTTCTTCTGCAATTTGTAGAGATTTACAGTGATGATGATTCAGCCTGTCAGTACCAATGTAGTACCATGAACATAAACAATAAAATAACTACATACATTGGTAAAGCCTAATCAGAACATTTTAAGAAACACTGAGCCTTTCAGTCAAACATGAACAATGCATTACTAGTTAACTGCTCGGTTCATGACTTTTTGGGGCCTGTCTGAAATGAATTGGGGACATAGTCAGATGGCTATTAGCTGCTACAGTCGCTATGATAATTATCTTTTAGTGATGTGTTGCTATCAGGGAGCTGGCTTTTCAGAGCTTTTGCAGTTTTCAGAGCAAACAGGATGAGATATGATTAAGCCACAAGAAAACACAGGTTTCAGATAACTTTGGATTGCGCCATCTTGGACTGGTTAGTAAGTCACCTAGAAGTTGCATTGCCAAGTCTGAATCACGGACCACAGAATTGTCCTTCTTGAACTTTAATTAATTTCTTTGGGAAGAATTTGTCCTTGTTGTAAATTCTCAACTGAAAGCTTTGAAAAACACAATTTCCTGACAAATTACCAGCAACTGAAACTTTCAAAACTCAAAAATATTATGCCAAGCCCATCACTGTCTGACAGTTGAGAAACTTGCTCGAAATTGCCCTAGAAAAACGGCCGTAACTAATTATCTCACTTGGAGTAACTATCTCGTTATCTGAATTTTGTCAGTGCATTTTACTACTGTTTCAGATGTTCTCACTTGGAGTAGACAGTGAATTCCTGCTCAAATTTTAATAATCGTTTTTACTGCTAATTAGTTGAGCTATATGGAGTTAATAGTGAAGTAAGAGTGAGCTGCAGCTGCAGGTTGCAGTGAGTGGAGAAGAGATTACGCGAAGACGACGAACCTGAGGTAGGCGACGGCGAGCTCGGCCCCACTTCTTCCGACGAGCACGACGACGTGGTGGTGGTGGTGGTGGTCGTCGTCGTGGACGACGACGACGACGACGACGACGAGTGCTGCGCGTGCAGCACCGACACCGGGCTTGAGCTCGGCATGCCGCGCTCTGTCGCCGCCGCTCTCCTCCTGCCGTGGCCGGGATGCTGCGCCTCGTCGTCGTCGTCGTCGCCGCCGTAGTGCAGCTTGCGGCGGGGGCAGCCACCGCTCTGTTTCTTGGCTCCGACGTGTCCGCTCTTGCCGTCGGGTTCGCCATTGTCGTGGCGAGAAGCGGCATCCGGGCTGAAGCTGAGGACGATGAACTCGTCGCCCTCCTCCTTCAAGTACGGCGCCGGCGGCGGCGGCCACCCCTCCGCCGAGCTCACCGACCTGCTCCTCCTCCTCCGCCGCTGCCGCCGCAGCGGCTGGCACTCCGTCTCCGGCGGCGGCGGCGGCATTGCGTCGAGCCCCATCAGCCTGGCCACGACGCAGGGGCTCATCCCCTCCTCCTGCTGTACCTGCACCTGCACCACCACCGCACCGTCGTCGTCGCCGCCGCCCGCATTGCCGGCGGCGGCGTGCGCGCAGAGTAGGCGGCGGAGGAAGTCGAGAGCCAAGGTGGAGGACGCCATGGCAATGGCAACTATGGCAGCATCAGCTTCGCAATGCTGCTGCTATTATATCTTCTTCTTGCCTCCGTTCTTGATTCGATTTGAACTGCAGTTGGAGGGAAAAAGAAAGAAAGAAAGAGAGAAAGAAAAGCAAAAGGAGGAAGAAGAAAGGTATGGCTATGGAGGTAGCAGCAGCTTGATTAGATGAAGAAATGGATGGAATTTTGCAAAGATTTTACTGCTAGTGGTAGAAAGGTGATCAACTGTTGCAGTGGTTATCTTCTTCTTCTACTTCTACTTCTACTGCTGCTGATGCTGTTGCACTTTTGTGTTTTGTCTGTCCCCTTGGATCTTTGGAGTGAGGGTGTGTTTAGTTCACGTCAAAATTGGAAGTTTGGTTGAAATTGGAACGATGTGACGGAAAAGTTGAAAGTTTGTGTGTGTAGAAAAGTTTTGATGTGATAGAAAAATTGAAAGTTTGAAGAAAAAGTTTGGATCTAAACTCGGCCTGAGTGAAATTTTTACCGTTTGACATTTGAAATACTCCTAGAGTATTTGCTCATACTGTTTTATTACAGTTAGTAGTAGGACTATCATATTTGTGTGTATTGTGATAAGGTTGGGACTGACACTGTTTACCTGCCTGTGCCATATATGAACACTGTAGTTCATAGCTTCACTATTGCAATGATATAATAAATGGGGTGGAGTGAGAAAAAGGTTGCATGCATGGGTATGAACTGAATTTGAACCTCCTTGACAAATAGGAGAGCGGAAAAATCCTTCAATGGAGTGTGGAGCATGCATTATACATTCTTCAATCCATGGTGGAACTTTATTAAAAAGATTGAGGTAGGAAGAATGCATACATTGACCTTGATGGTCGTGCTTTATAGTAGTTGTACATGCCATTTTGCTACTCTCATATACTATACTGTAGTAAGCCAGAGTCCTTCAATGCTCCATTGATGTTCCCAACTCACATCTCTCGTTCTCCAAGTGCATGCTTACCAAACTGCTATATGGTGTGTTTTTTTCTTTTTTAAAGAAAAGTTTTATATGAAAATTGTTTTAAAATCATGTTAATTAATTTTTTTTAAAAAAGAGTTAATACTTAATTAATCATGCTTTAATGAATCATTCCATTCTACGTGCGTGAGAAATTAGCACCCAACATCAACCTCTGAACACAGCCTAAAGGCAGTGGTGGTGTGAAAGTGAAGCATGCAAAGTGGGCTGTGGGCGGGCTCTGCGTTTGAAAGGGGGAAGGAAGGTTTTGCATGGAATTTGCAATGGCAGCCGGTGAGACCTTTTCCTGCAATTCTGCTTTGGCCAATTCCTTCCTTCTCACATGCATTGCAAATTTGTTTGCAATTTGCTCGCATTTTTTTTGCAAGTCTGCACGGTTTGAGTTGACAAAAAGGTTACCCTGCATGCGTGGGCCATCCATGTACGCCAGTCAGTGCAGATGCAGGTGTGGACACCGGGAGAAGAAACTTGTGGCACTAGTGTCGGGGGCCTGCACTGTATCGCTTCCATCCATCCATGTCCATGTCGTCTTCAATGCCAATGCCGAGCTCCGGCTGTCAGCGTGTCACAATGTGACGCCTAAGGGTGTGTTTAATTCACATCAAAATTGGAAGTTTGGTTGAAATTGCAACGATGTGACGAAAAAGTTGGAAGTTTGTGGGTGTATGAAAGTTTTGATGTGATGGGAAAGTTGGAAGTTTGAAGAAAAAGTTTGAAACTAAACTCGGCCTTAGTTCACGCCAAAATTGAAAATTTGATTGAAATTGGAAACGATGTGTTTAGTTCATACAACCTTTCATACACACAACTTTTCAAATATGTTTAGTTCACATTAAAGTTTGTAAGTTTGGTTCAAATTGGTACGATGTGATAGAAAAATTGTGTGTGTATGAAAAGTTTGATGTGATGGAAAGTTGGAAGTTTGGAAAAAAAAACTTTGGAACTAAACAAAGCCATTTTGTGTAGAAAAGTTTCGATGTGATAAAAAAGTTGGAAGTTTGAAGAAAAAGTTGATAACTGAACCAGGCCACTGTTCATGCATGCTCGGTGGAACCTCTACATCTTTGATTTCGAGTTTTTGACTGTGTTTAGTTCACATCAAAATTGGAAGTTTGGTTGAAATTAGAACGATGTGATAAAAAAGTTGAAAGTTTACGTATGTGGAAAAGTTTTGATGTGATGGAAAAGTTGAAAGTTTGAAGAATTATTTTGGAACTAAACACGGCCTTTACTCCAGTTTCCATTGCATTAAATGATCTATATGAACGGATGGAATGGCATATGTGGTGTTTTCAATTCACCTACTACATGCTGCAAACGCAAACGCCGACCTCGACGGCATTAGCAATCCGATCCACACAACACAAATCGCTGCACTCATCAGAATCCAACGATCGCATTGCCGGCCCAAACTTTTTTCTTGCCATCGTGAGGTTAGGTTTTTTTGTGGTCGAACTAGCTATAGATTTAACACGGATACTCGTATTTATGGTTAATTTATTTAAGTTGTAGGTAACATACTCGTTGATTGCGAGATGTTTGTAATGACTTCGTCAATCTCAAGATGTACCGACCCAATCTTTGAAGAATGTCCATAGAGATAGGATGTACTTATGTTTACAATGGTGAGTGTATACTTGTATTGTGTTTTAAAAAAAATCTATACGCACAGTACTACGGGAGGATAGCATACGGTGTTTCAATTCACCTACTCCTAAGCAGAGTGTAACTTAACTCGTTAGGTTTCTTGTTGTGGAAACAATCCACCCGGTTTCAAGTCCTAGGCTTGGTACGGGTGCTCGCATTTACAGCTAATTATTCTTTCAATAATAGGCAACGTATCCATCGATAGCAAGACACCCATGGTGATTTCGTTAATCTCAAGATATGCCGGCCTAGTCTGCCGGAGATCTATACGCACAGGACAATGGGAGGATAGCATACGGTGTTTCAATTCACCTACTCCTAAGTAAAGTGAGTGTAACTTAGCTCGTTAGGTTCCCTGTTGTAGAAACAACCCACCTGGGTTCAAGTCCTAGACTTGGTACGGGTGCTCGCATTTACAGCTAATTATTCTTTCAATGATAAACAACATATTCATCGATAGCAAGACATCCATGGTGATTTCGTTAATCTCAATATATGCCGGCCTAGTCTGTCGGAGATGCTCATAGGGGTAGGATAACACCCTTCAACTACTAAAACCATACCAAACAACTCCTCTATTATTTTAAGGGAGGTTTTTAAGAACATAGCGTCCACATGACACTTTGACCCGATCTTCATCGTAGCTATAACACGTGGCTGAGACATCGATGGACTTCACTAGAGCGTGCAGCCACTTCGTTGGCGCTACAACTATGTCGATAGCAGCAGCATGGTGAAGCTGGCCAACCTCAGAGCCCAACTCGATGAGATCTACCATAGCAACCTTGTCTTCGGTGACCTCTATGGTCATACCTTAGCTACCACATCTTCCCCTTCTAGCTAGCTTAGCTAGCTAATACCGCTAGATTTACTTTTTTTAGATAATAAAAACTTTATTGCACCCACCCCGATACATCCCGGTAGAAACGCCTAAGAACAATCTCGGTCTCTGCATTAGTTTTTATCAAAATAAAATAGCATGAGTGTTATGACTATATCGTCACCCATGCTATTAGCTAAAACATTCATTGATCACCCCGCTCCAAGCCTCCAAATGTCAACAGACTACTGCAACCAAATCCTGTATATGTAGCAACGACAACCCAATCCCATGTATCTAGTTTCTGAAAGATAACCTAGATCTGGTTTTTGAATAGATAACTTGTAAAGGAAAACTAAATGTTTTCCTCTTTAAACTCGTAATATGCATGTACTTAACAACGGGCCAGACCCATAGACCCATAGATTGGCTAGCAATGTGGATTGAGAATAAAGCACCAGTTAAACCCATATAATTGGAGATTAGTTTGGTGAGAGATTGATGATAAAGTACTAGATCCTACTATAGTTACGCACACACAAATGAGCGCACAGCCTCTTAAGCACGATAAGGAGTCGGAATGAGGACGGCTACACTTTTAAAGTAGTAGAAAAAATAGAATTCCTGCTTAACCAGAACAAACAACATGTAACAATCTCTAACAGGACATATGATTTCATTTCTTTTGTAATTCTTGAAAGAGAACCACCATCATACGCACGATAAGGAGTCGGAAGGGGGACGACTATGCTTTAAAGTAAAAGAGCATCTATGCCCCTAGTGGGTTTTGGTTTATTGATGACAAACGATTAAGGGACTAATGCACTTATTGAGTGTATAAGCAAGTGATTAGTCCGATGAAGAAGCTAGGAAATGGACTTATCGATGGATGAGAATTAAAGAGAAGATATTGAAGATGCGGGTATGAAGTGACTACCTATGGCAAGATGGTGAAGCGCAAGCGACGCTCAGTTGCGATGGACCATGCGGTGGTGAAGGGCAAGCAAGGGGCTTGGCGCCGACGAACCGAAACCGGTGGTGAAGGGCGAGTGAAGACTGTGTCGTGATGAATCGTGCGATGCCATTTGAAGTCATGGATTATCTACATTAATCATTTGAGAAATGGAAGATGAAATGTCAAAGATCAAGAAGATGAGATCTTCCCAATGATCAAATGACCTTGACGTTGGTAACCCTCCAAGTGAAGAAACAATATGGTGTGAAGGTACTCCTATTGGTATAACTTTGCCTTCCAAATTTGAGTTTAGGATGCCGTCCTATTAAGAGGGATACCACATGCATATAATTGGTTGAATACTAGTGCTCAAAATGCTTCATCTTTGTGTGAGTTGAAAAACCTAAGCCAAAATTTCAATCCCGAGTTGTTTCACTTGTCACAACACTTACACCGGGTTTCTTTGCAAGTTTTTCAACATCTCTTGAAGGTTTTGGACCATGTTTTATGTTGGGTTTGATAGCCCACAAAACTAGCTTTCCATAGAGTCCAAGATCTTCGAAATCGGAGTTCGGAGTAAAAAGTTATTGCATTTTTAATTGAGCAACATCAGACTATCCGATGTATCAGACTATCCAATTTTTCATAGAGCTTCACTCTCTGTCTTGATTTGAAAAAATCCTATCGAGTGAGTTTTTCTAAGTATCGGAGTATCCGATGTCGGATCAAATAGTCCGATGACACAGAGACTCCGAAATTTCATGGAACTTGAGTCTCTGTTTGAGGACGAAATTTTTGCTTCTAAAATATCAGATACTCCGATTTAACATCAGATAGTCTGATGTTTCGGAAAGTCCGAAATTTCATGGAACTTCGTTCTCTGTTTCTTGTTGCCTTGGAGGTTTAAAATATCGGACTATCCGATCTTGTATCGGACTATCCGACGTGGGCTGAAAGATTCCCCTCCAACGGTCACATTTTGGGGGATCTATATAAACCCCACACCAACCCTTTTCTAGGGTTGCCCAAACTGATTTCATTCCAATCTTGCTTTGGGTTGAGCTTTGTGCTAAGTGCTTTGGATTTTTGAGCTCTCTCCCTCTCTATCTCAAATCCCCCTTGTTCTTTGTGACTTGGATCTTTGTGTGTGGATTTGGAGTTTGGGAGCCTAGTGTGTGTTTCTTTTGATCTTGAGCACTAGGATTTGTCCAAGAGTTGTGTGGTGTTTATTACTCTTGGAGGTTGAGGACTCCTAGACGGCTAGGTGTCGTTCTTGGGCCACCGATCTACGTGTGGTTGGCCAAGAGAAGTTTGTGAAGGCCGGATCTCGCCTCCGCAAGGAAAGAGATACCCTTAGTGGAAGGAGGAGTGCATTTGTGCAACCTCACGAGGATAGGGTTGAAAAAGACCCGGCTCTTTGCGAGCCCCTCAACGGAGACTAGAATCCCCTCAAGGATTTGAACTCCGGGAAATACATCGTCGCGTAAACCTCAGTGATATCCTATCTCTCTTTACCTTCTTGTTGCATTGCTTTGTGCCATGCTAATATTGTTGTTGGTTGAGCTCACCTCCTTACGTGTGGATTGGATCTAGAGCTTTTAGGTTGTTTCTTGTTTGTTTTTGTTGTTGTGCAGGTCAGATAGTCTGATCTCATTTCAGACAATCCGATCACATAGGACTATCCGACCTGATATCAGACAATCCGACCCTGTTTTGTTTTAGCTTCCACATTTATTTTAAAAATCGTCTATTCACCCCTCTAGGCGACATCATAAAGTAGTAAAAACCACCATCCTATGCACGATAAGGAGTCAAAAGGAGGATGACTATGTTTTTAAAGTAGTAAAAAGCCATCCTACGTACAATAAAGAGTTGAAAGGAAGACGACTACGTTTTTAAAGTAGTAGGAAGAAAAACAGCATTCCTGCTTAACCAGGACGAACAATGCATAGAAAGAAAAACAACATTCCTGCTTAACGAGAACGAACAACACATAACAACCTTTAACAGGACATATAATTTCATTTCTTTTGTGATTTCTTGAAAAAACCAACCACCAAACATTTGTGTGGAGTTCCATATGCCATTTGGATAAATAAACGCTTACCAGATTTATTTGTAATGATCAATTGATTTTCTGTGACTAGTTGAATGATGGTACTCCTAGAGTGAGAAGCAAACGAGCATATGTTATGCTCACATAAGAGTTGTGAAAAAAAAAAACCCACTCCAGCAAACGCACACGAATTATTTAGTACAAGTAGTAGGTTTGCAATGTAAGAAACAAAAAAGCTCGAAGCAGATCATTATAAGGCCAAACGAAACTTGGTTATTATTTCCCATGCCAGTGCAGATTTACATAAAAACTAGTACGGCTGGGCGCTAGACTACAGACGCAGAAGGCAGGTTGACGTACTCACAGGTGCCTGAAAACTTGTCTGAAAACTGCACCCATGTGAATACAACCGACTACGAAACTGATTAACATCAACTCACCTAATTGACTAAGATAGTACTAATAACACGTACTTATAGTAATAAACAGCATCAGAAGCTAACATTCAGATGAACCTGCAGGAATTGTTGGACTCTGCTGATCTGATTTGCACTGCAGAGCTAACAGTAACTGCATAAAACCAGTGAAACAGGTTCCTGATAAGTTGGTCCCATGAGATGAGATGAAGATGATCCGTTCTATCATCAACACTACCTACCTGTCTCAAGCGGTCAAGCCTACTCGCGCTCAATCTGAATGGTCACATGGCTGATGTTGTACTCAGACTTGATGTACCCAATCACCTTGTCCAGCATTTGATCAGCGTCTGCGTCCTGAGTGATTGTCACATGGCACGCCAGGAGAACCTTCCCCACCGTTATGGCCCAGATGTGCAGCTCATGTACTGCAACCACACCGTCCATGTCGCGGAGGCCATTCTCAAGGCTGGTGGCATCGATCTCGCGGGGCGTGCTCTCCATCAGGACCTCAAGGATGTTGCGCAGCATCTTGATTGTGGTGAAGAGTACGATCACGGAGAAGATGAGGGTGCAGATGAGATCAATAATCTTCCACTCGGGCTTGTACCAGATGATAGCCCCTCCAATCATCACACCGATGCTCTGGATTGAATCCCCAAGCACATGCAGATAAGCACTGTGTACATTGATATTACGACGAGCCTTCTTGGCATCCTTGGCACCAGATTGGGTGCTGTCACAACCAGCATCACTCTTGAGCAATGGTTCCTCAGCATCATGGTGGTGGTGTCCAGTGCCTGGATGGTGATGGAGATTGACGGTAATTGAATTACCATGGCCATCTTCGTGGTGATGTACATGGCCATGCTCTTGATCTTCATGGTGGTGATGGTCATGGTCAGAACCACCATGATCATGGTCATGGGAATGTCCATGCCCATGACCATGTCCGTGTCCATGTCCATGGTCATGACCAAGCAAGACAGCCATTATGATGTTAACAAATAAGCCAAATGCTGAGACAGCAAACATGAGGGAGCCCTGGACCTCACCACTTTCATTAATGAGCCTTACAATAGCTTCATAGACAAGAATACCAGCAAGGAGCCATATGAGCTGAATAGAAACCAGGGCACCAAGAATTTCTATACGGAAAAACCCATATGACTGCTGTGGTGTAGCTTCCCATCCAGCTGCCCAAAGAGAGAACAAAGATATGGCAAAGGCCGCAACATCCGAAAGGAGATGGGCTGCATCAGTCAAGATTGCCAAACTGTTTGCTTTGATACCTCCAACCACTTCGACCGCCATGAATATGATGCAAAGGATCACAGCAATAATGAGCTTCCTCATTGACGCCATTCTCTCCCTTGCATCTTTTGAGCTATTACTGGAATCAGAAAAGTCACAAGCAGCACCTCTGCAAACTTTGTTCCCAGCTGCTACAGAAGTAGATGATGAGATGTCCATTCTCACTTCAGCAATCTGGGGAGGTGCTGAGTTATGGCTGTCCATCTAGGGGGAAAAGAATCATGTCAATACACAAGTACAAAGATGATGCTATATTTACTTCTCATGCTCTGAGAAAACATGTTAACATAAGGTTCCTGGTAGAAATAGTGCGAAAAGCTAGTGATAAGAATCCTTTCTTGTGTCACTGGGGGAGGAAAAAAACTGAACAGCACTTCATAAAGTAAAAGGTGGCATGAACATTCTTAACATGAATGAATAACGAAGTTAAAACATCAAACATATATAACATAGGCAACACTGTTTACAAGTAAAAAATCTCCGTGCCATGGCAGAGCGTACTTTTATGGTACTTATGCCAGGTAACAATGAGTAGCCTTTTGTTAAGCGGCACATTAAAAAAATGTGCATCAGTACCACCTTCCTAACCAGGAGACAACAGTAGCAGGTACAAAAAGGTTGGCCAAAGGATATAATGAATAGAAGTAAATATGTTCGTTTTTAGAAGGTGCCAATGTCTCTTTGCTCAACAAATATAGCAAGTGCATAGTTCTTGCTAGTGCAAATATAATATAAGCATTGCAAATAATGAAACCATTTTCTTAGTCAGGCTAAAGCTTTCAAGATGTATTAAAAAAGCACAACAAAACAGGAAATAAAAAAACCATAAAACTGAATGCAGAAGGAGAGCACTAGAATTGTCGTGCTGGCAGTACAAGAACAGTTAGCTGGCACCTGGCAGTCTTTTCCAACTAAAAGTGACAGTATCACGAAAGGGAAGATTAATTAAGTCGCACTAATCCAACAACAAGAAGGTCCCCCTAAACATAACTAGACATTCAGCACATGATTGCAAACAAACGTCACAAGATTGAAGTAGGTACTTCGTAAATCAAAATACCCTCAAACAGATCAAGTTCTCTCTACCTAACCGAAGGCAACCGGCAATCGCTGGTTACAGCGAAAGCACAAGAGGGGAACACCACCAAGGGAGCAAGCTAATCGGCATTCATTCATGTTTACGATAACCTACATTAGAGTGTATGTCCACAAATCCAAAAGGACAATATAATGAAACTAATGAAGCACTCCAGAGCTATCGTAATGAGATTTTCCAACCAATCCATCCATCCATCGGAAGCTTTTCATTGGACACGAGGACGGACTGGTCAGGGACCAACGCTGATTGATTGATTGATCGATTTATTTCGCCAATTCAATGACGCCGTGCTCGCGGACAAACAGTTTGTGGCTGACGAAAGTTGAAACCTACTCCAGACCAATCGAATCTGTAGTGTTAGGAAGAACCCAAGGAGGAAACGACCAAAAATCGATCCCTATCATCACCCCGTAACACCGCAATTGGAGACAGGGACTCGTGATTCGACCGATTTTGAAAAATTTTTCTCTCCCCCGATCAAATGGACGGAGAAGCGAATCGAAGCGAGACCCCACACCTCCACTCGAACAACCCAATCCCGCAGTAGCAACCCGTAACCTCGAGTCGAACAACCCAATCCCGTGACCCGTAACCGCCGCTCCCCTGATTTCTCCTCCTCCTCCATGAAACAATATTCCATCCTAAACAAAAAAAAAAAAACTAGCGCTCCAAAATCCGAAACAATAACAGCAACAGGGAATGACCCCAGGGAAACCCGCGGCGAGCGAAGAGCAGATTCGTGGAACGAACGAGAGAGGAGCAGAGGTTGATCTGGTCTCTCGGTGGGGACGACGAATCCATCGTAGGAAGAGGTGGTGGGAAAGGGGATGGGGATGCGGCGATGAGGCGCTAACCTTGGGGATGAGGAGGGCTTCTCTGCCGCCGCCGCCGTTGCCGTCGCCGTGGTCGTCGCCGCCGGCGTCGAGGTGGTGGTGATGGCGCGTGCGTGCGTTGGAGATGGGGAGGAGAGAACGGGGGGTAGGATGCGTTCTCGCGTGGAAGAGGCGAGAGATATGAAGAGGAGGATGAGGTGGCTTTGGCTAGGAGGGGCAGTTTGGTAATTTAATTACGGATTGTCGGGCCCACCGACCAGACAGATGACGTGGAACCCCCACGCGGCCCCCATCCGCTTTCCTTCTCGTCTTTTCTTTGGCACGGACATGAAGGCATATTAAAAAATAAAAAGGAGAATAGCTAATATGGTCCTTAAAATTTTGTTCCTGGGTCATTTTAGTCATTAATTTTTTATATTGTCCAAATAAGTCCTTTAAATTTGTCATATGGGCTAATATAGTCCTTGGTCCCACGAAAATCGCATCCAAACAAGTCCTTTAAATTTGTCATGTGGGCTAATATAGTCCTTGGTCCCACCAAAATCGCCACATGGACATGCCATGTCACATTTCTATGCAAAATCTATATGATTTGTCCAATTTACCCTTACGCATAGGAAAATAAAAAACAAAAGAAAAAAGTTAAAAAATATATGGTACATGTAAGAGCAAAAATATACCTCAAAAGGGTGAAAAAAGAAGTATTTTTTTCCTATGGTTATGTCTAATTCACCCTTATATTTATTTTTCTATGATATACGTAAGGGTATATTAGACAATTCATCATAGATTTGCATGAATGATGACATGGCATATCCATATGATGATTTTGGTAGACCCAAGGACTATTCTAGGCCTTATGACAAAGGTTAAGGATTTCTTTGGACCATTTAAAAGGTTAGGGACTAAACTGATCCTACAGAGAAATTTTAGGGACTAAAGTAGCTATTCTCTCTTAAAAAAACAATTTCTAACTACGTACAGTAAGTATATACAAATATACTTCCTCCATTCCATAATACTCCTATAAGACATGATCAAACTTGGTATAGTCTTCAAAACTAATACTTGATCTAAAATTTCTCACTTAAAATTTTTCATATACTATAAGATTTATTGTAACAAATTTATAACCATCTTAAAGTAAATTTGAATGTCAATCCAATGATATTAATTTTAACAAATAAAATTTAATTTATATTATAATAATTGTTGATCAAATGTTTTTAAAGTTAAATCTTGGAATGTGTGCACGTCTTTTATTATAGGATAGAGGGAGTAGTTTATGTCTAGGCTATATAGGTCTCGTTCTTTTCTCCAATAAGAGTTGGATGAAGATTAAGATTTTTGTGGCACGCTTTTCAAACTGCTAAACGGAGTGTTTTGTGCAAAAACTTTCTATATGAAAGTTGCTCTAAAATATTGTATTAATCTATTTTTCAAGTTTGTAATAATTAAAACTCAATCAATCATACATTAATACCATCTCGTTTTGCGTAAAAAACTTAATGAAACATCTTTAGGAGAAAAGGACACCACCATAGCCAAAAATTGATTACTTTTTAAAAATAGGTTTTACTTACAATAAAACACTTCTTTTTTTCGTAAGTTTTTGGGATTAGAATTTTAAACTGTTTTCTTAATAAGTCAATGACTTTCAAGTAAGTTTGGTGGACTTCTTACTCTAATTCACGTAAACATATAAAGTAGTATTAAAACTAGCTTTTGGTTTAATAGTGTGGACGGTTTGTGGCTTTATAAGAGAAGAATGATATAAAAGTTGTCTCTTTTTTTCTCTTTTTCAGTTTTGGCCTTTATTTTGCTTAGAAGCTCAAACAAATACTAGAACCTAGTATATAGTTAAATGAGTGGCAGATGAGAAATGGTAGTTTCCTTTTAGAACATTAGTAGTAATATATAGCACCATACGCGAAAAACTTACATGGAATTATGTCGTCAGGCACAGCGAAATACTTACGTGGAATAATTATAGACATGGATGATAAATCTTGTAAGGTATGAGAGCATCATATATAATAAATATTGTCGATAATCAGTTAACCAACAATAGCTTTTGTCTTGATTATATTGGGACATGTCGTGTTAGCCCTCGATAATTGACTATTTTAAACAGGTTCAGATCCCTCGAAGCAATAATAAACATATGTCATGATGATTGTATTTGTATACTAGGAGTATGTAAAAACACTATAAACTAGGGAACTTGGCCTGACTTCACGTGTGTGTTTTTTTTTTCTCAAAATGATCAGCTAAACTAAATAGCAGTTTTCTCTTTACTATGAAAATTATGATTATATACTATAGCTTAAATTTAAAATAACATGTTTTTGTAATACAGCCTCCCATGGTCCAACTGTCTCCTCTGGAGACAGAACTACAGAAGCAAGGATAGATCGAATTCAAAGTTTATGGCAAATGGCCAAATGGTTTGATCACGAACTCTCCCTTCACCTTACATTAATTTAAGACAGGGGAAGGATTTGAAAACACAAGTTGTGCTTTAACTATTACTACGACGGTTGAAGTTTATACATATAGTACGTGTGTTACGAGTATTACACGATTACTTGGGATTAGCAGGGAGTACAGTAGGTCATAGTTAGTGGTGCCACATGGAACCATGTATATATAATAAGATTAAAATGTCAGATATCACGTGTATCACGATGGTGTAGTGCTGTGCTGTGCTGGCATGGCGCTTGATTAGGGGGCCACTGCCCCTATCGTTAACCCCACTGCCCTGGATAGTTGTGTCCATAAGACGACGTGATTTTTTGTCCAAACACTGTACAAGCATACTGGTGTGCTACTCCGTTCCAAAAAAAAAAAAATAAACCCTAGCTACGAATCTGGACACGTATATGTCTAGGTTTGTAGCTTGGATTGGGTTTTTTTGGACGGAGGGGGTAGGTGTTTATATAAACTGGCAAGATCGATGGAGGCGGCGCGTTGGGCGGTCCACCGGCCTAAACCGGATCTGGCCGCCTCCGCCCTGGTGCGGAAGGGGGGAAGGCTAGTGGAAGGAGCTGGATGAGGCGCCGAAGGAGGAGTTGGCCAGCAGTGTTGGGGGAGCCCGACAGGATGACGGAGTTAATTGGAGGGGGTGGTCAAGCCGGTCCTAAGCCGAATTTAGCCGCCTCCATCTTGGTTCTGGAAGAAGAAGGCCGACGAAAGTGGAGTTGGGGAGTTGAGGAGTTGGAGGTGCAGGTGGCCGGGAGGTTGGCCGGAGGGGCACAACAGGTGTCAATTGGTGAAATTGCCGCATTGAGGGGTCGTTCGTTGTTGCAGATATGCTTGTTGGATAGCCGCGGGACACGAAGATCAGCGGTGTGGTCAGTGACCTGGTTGACGGCAAGGGTTCTTCCCGACTAGCTGATGTTCCCTCCTCCCGTCCCTTGGAGCCCCTTCCCTTCTTAGACTGGTCTGCTCCTAGACTCTAGTCGTGGGGTGCCCATGTTAAGAAGAGAGACGCAGGTCTGGTTGGAAGGTTCTGTTTGGTGAAGATCATGAGGTTGCCCGCTCTGTCAGCGCTTTGAAAGTCCTTGCAGCAGTGAGTCGTGTGGTGAACGAAGCTCCCGTGGCATAGCCATCAGGGTTTGAGTTGGGGTGGAGTCGGAGCTGCTTGAGGTGGCAAGCTCAGCAACGATAACCCCCTTCTTTCTCCTTGGAAGCGTCTAAGGTGTTGTGAAGCCTTGTGGCGGCTTTGGTTTCGTGGTTGGTAGGGAGCGAGAGCCTAAGCGAAAGCCCTGCTTAGTCTTTGACTATAGCTGATAACGTCGACTCCTGTGGGCGACATCCCCTTCTTGAAGGCGTTATCGCTTTGCTCTCCTTTTCTTCGGGTGAAAACTTTGTTCCAATTCTCGGACGGACGTTGCTTGCGTCTCGAATGCTTTCTTTCTCCTTGGAGGCTTCATTTAGAAGACCCTACTCTGTGTTATCGTTTGTCCCCTAGTCTGGGGTTTGTTCATAAGAAGTCAGAGCTGCTCTTATGAGCTTAGCAACGATGACTTATGTCTCGAACTTCAGTAGTGCTGCTGCTTGTGCCATGTTATGTTCCTCGTGTGGGTCTCTGGCTGGTTTTCCCCAATTAACCGTGCATTTGTGAGGTTTTCGGACCCGGTTTTCCCTTAAAAACTGGGCTAACTCTCTACTTCTTATATGAAAACAGGTATTCCCTGTCCTCTTTGAGATTTACCTTAAAAAAATTATTGATCACAAGTGTGGCAAGTTGTGACAAAAGTCTGTGAGTATGACACATGGAAACATGAGCTATGAAAGTGTGGTATGTCATAAATATAGCAATGAACCAAAGACTTGCTTGATTTAGTCAAAGGGCTTAGCCACAAGTTGTGGCAAGTGTTTCTCTCCTGCTCTTCTTTTCTTTTCTTTTCTTTTTTTGTTCGAGATAAAAATCTCAGTTAGTATGTCCCTCTACACCATGCAATACAAATTAAGTTGAAACACATTCAAATGGATATACGGATAAAATTCTTTATTGGATCTTATTTGAGAAACGATAATACTCCCTCCATTTCTAAAAGGAGGGATTCTAGGTTTTTAAGAGATTAAGGATGAAGATAAAAGATCACTATCATGCATGCCTCATGTTGCGTGGTGAGTGAAAAAGTGGTTGTGGATAAGGTGAGAATAAAATTAAATATCAATGATTGATCGGGCACTATATAGTACATATAAAATCCCTTATTGTTGGATAAAATTCTAAAATGTTTCGATCGTTGGGCGTTCGAGAGAATAATTTTTTTTAAGGGAAAAAGGGGGGGGAGATATTTCATTGCACACAAAGAAAGGCTACAGCTATTAATTCCAATATGATAGTATTATCTCTGTCCATTCCTAGTGTAAATGCGGCACACACGTTGAAGAGGCATATGTTTACACGCAGGTCACCCTAAACGTGTCCAAAAAGTCAGGTCTTAAAAATCATTATATGTAGTAA